TGGTACCTACCCGTGCGGACTCTAACTAGTCTAATTAGCATAATATGCTCACGAACAACTCTGAATGTATAGGAACTATTTAGTTTTTTGATAGTGAATTTTACGACTCGGTTACTATTAAATTTGTCGTATAGCCAACAATCATGACTTGAAGACCAAGCGTTTTAAAGCTTCGCTATTGTCTAAATTATAAATAAAGATATTTGACGGGTTCGTACCACGATTATATTTAATCAGGACATTCAATTAATGAGCTCCCGACGTTTTGGCCCTACAAGCGATAATGTTACGAGCATACAAATCTATCCATCTTCTTTCAGCCTATCCATTTTTTATTAATGGCAAATCCCTGTTAGATAATATTAATTATAATAAGGTCGCAGTTCTAATTTTGTAACAGCTGTATTTTATCTTTAGAGCTCAAATAACGTAATTAATGAAATTCTGTACACACGAAGTTGCGAATGTTTAGGTAATTTGCAATAAGAAAAGCGTGCAATGGAAATGCACTTTCTATTCCACTTCTCGGCCATAGTTGGTCACATCCGTAATCTCTATTCGACCTTTTGATACAATTACATTTGTGCCGGTGCCTACGTAATACTTTTTGACGGTGTCTTTATTAATACACTTTAGTATATCTATATATATAAAAAATGAATTGCTGTTCGTTAGTCTCGCTAAAACTCGAGAACGGCTGGACTGATTTGGCTAATTTTGGTCTTGAATTATTTGTGGAAGTCCAGAGAAGGTTTAAAAGGTAGAAAAATATGAAAATGCTCGGAATTATCTAAAAACAAACAATTTTATTTTTCCTTTGATGTGTTCCCTGTCGGACGGATTCATTTTGTTTGTTTTAAGTTTATTTTATGCAAAAGTTTAGGTCTTTTATTTATCGATTGAGGCACTATGAAAGCCGGGTCAGCTAGTCATAAATAAAAATATATCGAAAAGTGAAAGGTTATTTGGATCAAGCGACATTTGTACAATATTATAAGAGAGCCATTAAAAAGTTCAAAATTTGAAAAATAATATCGTAACAAAATAACTTCTTCAGCTATTTTAATGAAGTAAACTAAACTGAAGTTCAATCAAAAACATGGAATGTTGATGCTAATACTAAATAAAACGCACCTTTAATTACAAAGTTTTTTTATTGCTTATATGGGTGGACGAGCTCACGACCCACCTGGTGTTCAGTGGTTATCGGAGCCCATAGGCATCTACAACGTAAATGCCGCAACCTATTTTGAGAGATAAGTTCTCAGTATAGTTACAACGGCTGCCCCACCTTTCAAACCGAAACGCTTACTCTTTCACGGCAGAAATAAGCGGGGCGGTAGTACCTACCCGTGCGGACTCACAAGAGGTCCTACCACCAGTAAAATGTCGCTTAAACTAAATTGACTTTTACTTTTATAAAAGCTTACCTTTAAATAAAAACTGCCGAGTAACGAGGATTGGAAATGGAAAATAAAAAACACTTCATCTATTTTAATATACAAACACCATAATGAACGCCACTATGAATGAATACAACGCTGCAAACAATGCAATAGAGACCTCCACCTCGTGTCTTCAGGATGTCTTAATGACTGGGTCTGCTATGACCACTTTAGCTCACGTGAGCTCATCCAACCAATTAAATAATGAAAAAAATATAAACCAATATAGTGTGTTCCTGAAAACATAGTGTACCAACCCACCCCTTACTTTTACTTACCCCAGCACTAACTTCGAAAGAAACAAATATCATACAAGTGAATAATACAATAATAATTTCTTACGTAACATCGAATAGAACGTGCTTCCAAATACGGAAAAAGAATAAACAAGTCCCAAACAATATTTTATGATACATATGTATGTATATATTTTTTTGTTCTACCGAAAACAAAGCTTTCCATAAACTATCTACCGAATCGTCGTCGCGCATTGTGACGCGAGACGCGACATGTTTGCGAACACGCAACGAACGATATGCGTTTGATTGATGATGTTTAGACGTATATGGTACTATCCGAGAGCAACCTTAATGCTTTGTGCGCCTGTACAACAAAATCCCACAAGATGTTCAGAACCTACATATACATAGGTTTAAGAAAACTGTTAAAGAACATCTGTGCAATAAAGCTTACTATAAAGTCAATGATTATGTAGAAGATTGCACAAAGTGGGAATGAGTTGCTCGCTCCGGGCATTTCAATATTGTAGTAATTGTTACGTTATAATATTAATTATAAAAAATTCATATTTAAAAAAAAATGTAATATTAAAAAATTAATAAATAATAATTTCTTATTAAAAAAAAAAAAAACATGCCCGCTGAGTTTCTTGCCAATTCTTCTCAGGACGGAGGCTAGTTCTTGTGAATTGGAGGTAGTTCTTTTGACGTTCAACAACTATGTACATTCATTTATGTTGAATAAAATTTTTTTTGATTTGATTTGATTTGATTTGTAAACGCAATCTAAAGAAACGTTATTTACATACAAAATATAGTATTTAATGTGTATTAAGGGATGCAAGTGTTTGCTGAAACATTTTTTGTTTTAATCACGCAATATAGCCAAGTAACGCGTTTTTTTTTTCTTTGATGGTTGGACGGGCTCACCTGAAGTTTTTTTTTTTTTATTGCCCTTGTAGGCCGACGAACATACGGCCCACCTGATGGTGTGTGGTTACCGTCGCCCATGGACTTCAGCAATGCCAGGGGCAGAGCCAAGCCGGTGCCTACCAAAGTTAATGGATGTTAAGTAGTTACTGAAGCCCATAGAAATCTACAGCGTAAATGCCCCACCTACCTTGAAATATAAGTTCTAAGGTCTCAAGTATAGTTACAACGGCTGCCCCACCCTTTAAACCGAAAAACATTATTACTTCACGGCAGAAATAGGCTGGGTGGTGGTATCTACCCGCGCCGACTGACAAGAGGTCCTACCATCACTTTCGGCTTGTACTAAGATTTAAAACTCATGTTTCAGAGTGGGTGGGGCGTTTCGTTGCTGATGTCTATGGGCTCCAGTAAACATTAAACTCCAGGTGTCAAAGTTAACCTGTCTAGGCAATAAAAAAATCATTAATAAAGCAAGAACGCGTTTTGTCCCAGACAGGTAGATATAATTATTCTGCTAACTTTGCTGCCAAGCAATCATAGACTCTGAGCTGTGGAGGGTAAGAAAGCCGTTATACAATACAATTAAGGCGTTTATATCACAACTAAAATTAGTGGCGAAGTTCACATTCGTTCACACATACGTAATGTCAATGAGTAGACATTTAAAAAGCAAAAAAAATTGTGTATTTCATATGCCCGTATCGTGATGATAGTTAAAAACGTTAATTTGATTTTAATATCTCGTTATCTTTACAATTAAGACATTTACATCACAACTAAAGTTAGTGGCGAAGTTCACATTCGTTTACACATTATACGTAATGTCAATGAGTAGACATTTAAAAGCAAAAAAAATATGTATTTCATATGCGCCCCTATCGTGATGATAGTTAAAAACGTTAATTTGATTTTTATATCTCGTTATCTTTAAATTCGAAACACAAAAACAAAAACAAAAAAACCTTGAGTAAAAAAAAAAGAATATTAAGCCGTAAAGCTTCGCAGGAATCTGATAAAAGGCACTTTATGATATTAATAACAATAGAAAACGTTCTAAAACGGATATTAAAAGTCTCTGTTACATAATATTGCTCTTGCAAATATTTTTCAGAGAACGATATTGTTATACGTCTCGATTGAAATTTCAAATTTTGCTATTTCGAATTAAGATTGTTTTTTATATTATGTAAGATTTATTGTTATTTTGCGTTTGTATTTGAACACATTTGGCTCAAAATTTTAAAGTTAATGTCTCGAATGACCTAACTTCGGTTAAATCTTGAATTTCTCGAAGGAATTCAAGAAACAAAATGCTAATCTGTAAAAGATTGTATAGTTTTTAGAAACAATCATTTGCTATTCGTATAAAAAAAACACATGTGGCACTCAGGGACTGCCGCGGTAAAGCATTATTATTATTTTTTTTTGCATTTTTTTATCAACCTATGCAATTATAATCTCTATATATAAAAATGAATTGCTGTTCGTTAGTTTCGCTAAAACTCGAGAACGGCTGGACCGATTTGGCTAATTTTGGTCTTGAATTATTTGTGGAAGTCCAGGAAGGTTTAAAAGGTAGATAAATATGAAAATTTTGTTTTTCCTTTGATGTGTCCCCCGTCAGACGGATTCCTTTTGTTTGTTTTAAGTTTATTTTAATATAAAAAAGTTAGGTCTTTCATTTATCGATTGAGGCACTACGAAGTCTGCCGGGTCCGCTAGTTAGACAATAAAAATTTAATATTAAAGCAATAATAAGATAAAACCACGCTATATTTATAAACATTAACAAAAGCAAAACATTAACTGTTACTATACCCTTCACACTCATAATATAAGCTATACCGCGCGAGAGAAAGATGGACCTTTTCATGATGCGCATGCAGTGCGACGTCACGCCGCGTGCCTATTCACAAACACTACACAAGCGCAACGTGTGAATGTGTTGAACGCGAGCTACATGGTAGGCGGAGTGGGGGGTGTTAGGTTTTATTTTCGTTACGGAATTTCTAGATTCGGTCGTCGCGCTCAAAGCCCGTGATAAAAGCTATGCAATAGCTTAAAAAATAACAACGTATTCTAGGTTTAAAATTACTTGAAAAAAACTCTTTTCCTTTTTTTGTAACAAGGTGCCTCTTTATACGTACAACAACTCGCGTACAAAGAAAAATGAAAGGAAAATAAAGAAATGACTCAAGTCAAAGGCGAGTTGCGCTAAAACTGTCAAAAGGAAATACAGTATAATTCAAAGGGGAAACGCCGCGGTGGCTCTGAAAATACGCTTGCATACAAGTTTTGTGAGGCGCGCATGCGTGCTAGCGCTCGCGGCAGCCTCCGAAACGCGCCGACGGAGTCAGTCGCCGGCCGGTCGTGAATGCGATGCCCTATTCTGTATTAAAGCGATCGAGTGACGCGCCTACGAAACACGAAACTTTGATTTCCAGCTCACCAATGGCCCGTGCGTTGAAGTATTTAATGTGAATGATGAGTTTGAAAAGAAAATTTGTGAGAATGTGGACATTTTGGCTGTTATATTTTGGAGTTTCAGTGTTGTTTCGTTTCACGGATTCCGTCGGTAAGTTTGCAGTTTTTTTCTTTTATATATTTACTTATTCAGTTTTTCAGGAAGTCACTATGTTTGGAATATGAATTTTGTCGGGTGTTTCATAATAAGGCGTATTACTAATCTCGTAAGTAATACCGCCCTGAAGAATTATGCTTTATTTTTGTTGTGATATTTGTTTGGGTTTGAAGTTGACTGAAGTTTAACATAAAAAAAACATAGAGAAGCTCGTCCACTTTCAAAGTTTGTGATACTTAGTTTGATTTTATACTAATTAATTTAGCGTTTTCTTATATAACCAAAAAAACTATGCGACTTATTAAAGAAATATTATACTATAATATTTATCCAAAACAAAAAAGACGTAATTTAAAAATAAAGGCATAAAAATTAATTTAAATTTCTAAAATATATTATAATTAAGTTACAAAAAAAATCTTAATTAGTTAAGTATTCTGAACTTAATGTAAGCTGCAACCTGGCCATGGTCTTGACATTGCCGGAATATATTTTATAAGCGGTAGTGACCGCTTACCATCAATTGTGCCGCCTACTTATCTCAGTCAAGAATTTAGAGAAACTAGCATTAACACTAGAATCTCATCAACGTTTTCACCTGATCTTAAAATTACGCATTGACATTGATTTGCGCGAGCACAATGACATGTCCTTGTTCTCTAAGAGAATTGCTAACACGACCGCTCACATGAACTGATAGATTCGATCCTTGTACCGGATTTGTTATGAGGTTTTTTTTATTTTCAAACTTAAGCTAATGCATTTAGAAACCTTTTCGCAACACTAAGCAAATTTTCAAAGAGTACTTGTTCAAAAGTGTGGATAACAGGCTTGCTACTCCATAACAATTGATAGGCGCATTTTAAGCCCGATTGGGTGACTTCCACCTTCGTCAGAATTCCTATCGCAAAGCCGTAATGCATTTCGTCTTGAAGATTGAGGCATTTGTTCTTCTTCTGCTTCTTGCCCTTATCCTACGTAGGGCTAGCGCAGCATATCTTCTTTTTCCATTCATGCCTATCATACGTCATCTCTGCACTCACTCCCTTCTCTCGCGGATCATCTTTCACAGAGTCCGTTCAAGTCTTCCAGGACGCCGCCTCAGTATAAGGCGCATCGCATCCAGTATCGCATCCAGTATCGCTTCCAGTATCGCTTCCAGTATCGCATCTAGGACATCGCCTATGGGCCGTGAGCTCTTACATACATCTAGAATAGGACATTGAGTTTCTTACCCATTGTATCTAAATATGCTGTTCAGCATTAACAGTGTGGTTGTCGGGATACTTGCAATGATTTTTTAAATCAACATCAATCACTAAGATCAGATTTGAAACATGACGTAATGTAGGTACACGATCCGAAATCTCTTATTGCTTTAAAGAGTCATCGCACCAAGCTGTTATAATATATTCAAACTTGTCAATAACCTTTGCCTGTCTCTCTCCCTGTCTCAATCAATATTATTAATGTAGACTTCAACCGCTACAATACTGTATGGTTATACAATACGGCTGTGGAATGTTCTAGTAAATATTTTTAATAGGAAATCAACCCTAATTCGGTTGAATCCAAGCTTTAATTTTTACTTTTTAGATTTTTCTGTAATTAGCGTCTGGGTGCCTAAGACAGTTTTTCTTGTATAAACACAATTCAGATTACGTTAATGTGTTTCCTTTTTCGCACGCACGGTAGGCAGCGGCTTGGTTCTGCTCCTGGCATTGCTGAAGTCCATGGACTGCGGTAACCGCTCACCATTAGATGGGTCGTATGCTCATCTGCCTACAAGGGCAACAAATCAAGGGCAAAAAAAAAAAGCATAGGTACAAGACTCATTATACACCTGAGAATCCATCACATGAATGCTCGCGCTACGTTATACCATATTAGTTCTAATTCCATTGACATTACGGATTTTTATTCTTTGAACTGACCGCATTTTCTTTGGCTCCTTATATGAGACTGATGTAGTAATTACCTACTAGATATTCTTACCGTGAGATCGTCAATCAATTTATGCTTGTACAAATCGTAGCGAGGAAGACAAAGGTAGGTATATCCGTGCTATTTTTAGACTAAATGTATATGAAGTCGGTTACGACTTACCTGAGGGTTGCGGGAATCTATAAATATCAAATAGTTGATCCCTCGCGACATGAGATTGAAGTCCCATTTGCATAAGGAACGCCCCACACTTCACCCCAAACCTCTGACCACTTCGCGAATAAATTAGGCAGGACAGTGGTATAGATACCACTGGTACCTACTGGCTAGAGCCAAGTGAGCGAAGATGTATGTATCCCTTCGGTAAAATCTGCCATTCAGGACACTAAGTATTTTTAAAACATTTTTTGTACTTCGGACATTTGCATGTTTTATCTAAAAAATTCACTTGTTTAAGTACTTTAAGATAATGAAAAACTGTTACACACACATGTATGCTACAAGTATTTGTTTATTGTCAAACTTTTCTTAATGCTTAAAGTCTGTGGTCAAATTGAGAATACTCGTAGGTTAAATATTGATTGTCTTTATTAATATTTGTCTAAGGTGTAGTCTTGGTGAAATCTGTGATTATAGAAGTATAATAGTCGTTGACAATAGAATCATAATAGTGTACAAACTTATAATTTCCGAGGGACCACTACTTATAGAAATACTAGGAACAAACACAAGCTTGTTGTGCCGATGAGTAGGTTACATAAGATACGAAATTCATTCGGGTGTTTGTCTGTGCGCCTGTACAACAAAATCCCACAAGATATTCAGAACCTACATATACATAGTTTTAAGAAAACTATTAAAGAACATCTGTGCAATAAAGCTTACTTTAAAGTCAATAATTATCTAGAAGATTGCACAAAGTGGGAATGAGTTGCTCGCTCCGGGCATTTCAATATTGCAATAATTGTTACGTTATAATACTCATTGTAAAAAATCTAATATTTAAAAAAAAAGACATGCACGCTGAGTTTCTTGCCAGTTCTTCTCAGTACGGAGGCTAGTTTTTATGAATATATTTTTTTTTCAATTTATTGCCTTTGTAGGCAGACGAGAATATGGCCCACCTGATAGTAAGTAGTCACCGTCGCTCATGGACGTCAGCAATGCCAGGGGCAGAGCCAAGCCGCTGCCTACAATTGGCGGTAGTTCTTTTTGACGTTCAACGTTCTATATGTGGAATAATTTTTTTTTTTATTTGATTTGAAATATAATAATATGTCATTCAATGTGTTATAGCTTTCTTATCGATATGTACCTATTACTTTAGTCAAAAGTTAGCATTGCTCTGCCAATCTGCTGGTATTATGAGTAAGAGAAAGAAACTCATCTGCCTATATTCTGTAAATCCGTTTGCCTTCGATAGGAAAACATATTCAGTACTTGGTGAGCCTGCTCTCTGCCCCGAGGAGTTGAAAAAGGTCTAACATACGAGAATAGAAATAGATTTACATTTAATAGTAGTTGTGGCTACACCTACATAGGATACTACATAGGATACAGAAAGATTTTTATTACTTTACCTCCTCCTTGCGTCGGTTTCCTCATTACTGAGGATCGTGGTCATGGCCTTGAAACAGTTTATATGTTTCTCTGTCCATGACTCTCTTGGGATGTAATTGTGGTGGGTTCCCACGTCCTTCCACATCAGTATTTCGAAGGGATTTAGTCCTTCACGGCAACTGGTCCCGCTCCGTGTCACTGGTTGGATCCGGGGGCTGGGTTATTTCCCGCCGCTCAGTGCTCAGCGTTGACGTTTTACGGTAGGAATGTCCAGCTCCACTCAACCCTCCTCTTTTCTCATCCGGGCTTGGGACCGGCAATGGCAGAGTTTATTTATTACTTTACCACTCTCGGTAAATAGATCCATGGGAATTTTCATTGAGAGACAAGCTTAAATTCCTACTGCCTCTTACGAGCAATAACTAGTAATAGTAAAATCTCATTTCTTGGCAAGTTCACGATCAACCTGTTTGACCAAGATGAACGTATTCACCTTTAAGCAAGCGGACGAAGTTTCAAATGATTTTGTAACAAAATTCCTAAGAGTAGTAGAGGAGTACAAGACCTCTTTATATAATAATAATAATAATAATAATAACAATAGTCCCTAAGCACCGCCACCACAGCCTGAAGTTAATTGATCTGAAACCCAACACTTTCATGCAACTACAAAAAGCTGCTAAATTAAATACACGTAGAGCTATTCGTAAGCTTTTAGAAATAGAAGAAAACTCAACTAACGGACATTAAAATTTTATTCCTTATTATTTACTTGGCTAAGGCCTGTAAATAATAAATACGTACCAGCGGCTACTAAAAAAAAGAAAAAGTAAAGAAAAATAAGAAAGTCTTTTATTTCCCATAACCCAAGTATTACATTCTTAAATATAAGATTTTTACATTTTGATATATGTATATACAATTTTACATATTTTCATATTAGATTTTTTTATAGTGTTGTTCGTTTGATTTGCCTACATCAAACTTTTTCTTCGATAGGAACCCCTATTGGGGTATAGGCCTCCTCCAGCTTAATCCAATTTTCTTTGTCCTTGGCTCGTTTCATCAGTTCTTTTCCAGCTGTGACTATGATATCATCACTTAATTCTTTTTTCTGATCTTTATAGTTCAAATGGTGTGTAAAATAGTCAAAATGGTAATTAATACCTACTCGTTCAGACCAGTTGTCATTATTTAGGGAAAAATTATTAATTTTTGCAATGTTTATCGTGACATCGTGAGAGTTGTTAATGAACACAAATGCGAACATAACTTGATCCACGATATAGTCGTACCACTCAATTCATATTAAATTTACGCCATACCTCTTATACGTTAAGTGACGGGTTGTCAATACCTGAGTGATGTCGAATATATTATTAGGCGTTGCGCTAAGTAATCATTCTGGAAAGAGAATCATTGGTTTATATTATAATTATAATGGAAAATTTTAATGAAAATTAATTTGCAATGTAATTTAGCGAAAACCA